CAATAGTCAAAGTTCCTGCTCGACACACCTGTTTCATTTATTAATGTATATCATGCCTTCTTGATCTCCAGTGTTTTTCATTGTACACACACACACACACACACACACACACACACACACACACACACACACACAAGCGCGCGTACACGCACACACACAAACACACATTTTAATTTCCTACATTGAATGCCTAGTGACGTTTTCATGTCGCGAACACTTTACTCCTTTTTATTCCCTTTTCTCTAAATATAAGCACCGATGCAATAAAACGAATCTGTTAAAGACAAAACTACCAAGATATTGCTTTTAATCGGCAAAACACAGTGTTATTTCCATTTTAGGGGCTATGATTTCATAAGGTACTAAAAGATGGGGTGCAAAATAAAACGTATTCACCGTAAGTTTTAATCTCACTCCCCCAACTCGCGGGGGCGAGACTCAGTCTTGAACGCCAAGCGGCCATAACACTCGTTACTGTAATGGTGGCAATATTTGTCAATATGAAATGCACACACACCAATCCCTACAATAATTACATATTTAGCTTCTTTTGAATATTTTAGTATACATGGCATTGTTTCATTTCTCATGCGTGTTATTTTAGTCAGAATCTTCTTCCCAGGAGAACTTTTTAAAAAAGAGTCCTGTTACGGAGAACATGGAAACTTTGCCAAGCTTTACAGTAAATCTCCTCTTCTCGCAGCTGAGGTAAGCAAACAAACGGAGGGTTTCCCGAGCGAGGACACCCGAGCCGACCCGAATGAGGGCAGACGTCAGGTGGCCTGCGTGCTGAATGGAGCAGATGGCAAGCCCACAAACCACAAACTAGTGTTAGGCCTTTGTGTGTATGTCTGCGCGGCCCTTCCCGACCGTGGGATCCGGCGAGCACTTTCAACAGTTATTCTATTGGTGAATATCCTGGCTGCCTTTGAGCGGTCGGGCTGTGCCTTTTACGAATCTGTTCATTCGAGGCTGACGCTGAAATTTCATTCTGGATTTTCTGGATTATGTTGAGTTCGTCTGAAATGAACACTGCTTTATTGAAAGCAAAATTCAGTTGCATAGAGCATTTTTTGTACAAGTCGGTGTAGAATCTAACAGGAGACGACCAAGTTTTAGCTACACGGCTTCTTGAGTTTGCCTCTTCGGTGGATTGAAAAGTGAAACATATCTCCTCAGTCTCATCTCTTCGCTAGATCGGCGGTGTGGGATATGGCCAGGAGATATTTTACACTGATTCTGACAGGTTAGTATCTTTCTTTTCGATTGGAACCCCGGCGTACGCTGTTGCGCGTGTGGTCTTGTAACATGATGGTTAGGCTACAGCTTTTGAAAGTATTGCGAAGAAAGGAGCCCTTGCCTTTGTTTTGTCCACTTCAGCATGAAGCCGACTTCGTTTGTCCCCCTCTAGTCTAGTCTAGATCTATAATCTAGATCTAGATTCTAGATCTATAGCATAGCAATGGTTTTGGATTCTACCCCCCCCCCCCCAATTGCCATTGCATTGCTGCTTGAACTTAGAGTCTAATAGAGATCTCTAGAGAGATCTGAGGCTGAGGAATGGGTAGGCCCTAGATCTAGAATCTGGTGATCTTGTAGTTCCGTTCGTTTAAGTCCACGACCCATTTGTTTACATCCAGAGAAGAAATCCAGAAGTCTTGATGACCAAATACTCTTTGAAATAGGCTGCACAAAGAGCAGGGATGCAACCTAACTTTAAAACATCACATTAGGAAAACATTCACGGGGGCATGCCCCCCTGAACCCCCTATCCTCCATATTTTTATTAGGTCAGGGGTGCAAGCCCCCCTGAAACCCCCCATCTCTTGACTTTAACGAACGCAAAATCGCCCTAGAATCTAATCTAGATATAACTAGATCTATCTCTAGATCTACTAGTCTACATAGCTCTAGCCTCCAATCTAGGCGCCCAATTGAAGGCTGCTTTGGTTTCAAAGCCTAAATAATGAAGTATTAAACATTGCTTTAGTCCTAGATTCTAGGATCTTGATCTAGATCTAGATAATCTAGATAGAGAACTAGATCTAGATTCTAGACACTAGATTCTAATTCAAGTATGTCAGCGTCTTTGATTATTCGCAGTGGCTACACGTTCACGCCCTGTGAACGCAGTCTGCAGGCTACGTTCACGGCACCCTGAATGCAGTTTACAGGCGCTGTTGAGGCTACGTTCACGGCACTAAAAAAGTACTAAAGCTTCGTTTAGGGGGAGCATCCACTACCGGTTTAAAACATCAGGTTAGTCAGTCAGTGACGTATTTAATATTTTGGCCTCCTTCAAGTGTTCCAACCCATGAGATGAAGGAAAATGAAGGGCCCTTACAGAATTGAAGTCAGGTGGAAAATTGAATACGATACACATGGGAAACAAGAGGTGAGAGATGTGAAACAGAAGGTGGGATTTAGAAGATGGGACTGGTCATAAAATGTGTAGGCCTACAATAATGACTCTATTGCACTGGGTCAGCCTGGGAACCGACGCAGAGAGAAAATGACGTAGTTGACGTAATAATAACAAACACCCTCTCTCTCACTTTCTGTCTGTCTGTCTCTCTCTCTCCTCTTTCTCTTTCCTTCTCTATTTCTTCCCCCCCCCCCCTTCTCTCTCTATTTTTTTTTGCCCCTGTCTGTCTCTCCCTCTGTCTGTCTCTCCCTCTCTCTTTCTCTCCCCCCCCCCTCCCCCACCTTCTCTCTCTCTCTCTATCTCTCTCTCTCTCTCTCTTTTTCTCATCATCTCCGGCCGTCACGTGCTAACACAAGGTCGCGCCCTAGTCTCGCCCGGACGCGAAATAGGGCAATTGAATGAAACATCTTGGTAGATGTATTTTTGTCATATATATGTATGCCTAATGCGTTGTTGCATAGAGGCCTAATTGAGAGTTCGTCGTTTTTCCTGAGCTAGAGATCAGTGTAAGGGAAAACGACGAATGGTCGATCGGTCAAGGATCACTGCTACGTTTTCCTTCATCTCATGGGATGGTACTCTTGAAGCAGGCCAAAATATTAAATATACGTCCCTATCGTCACTGACTAAAACCGGCTTACTTAAACCGACAGTGGACGCTCTGTCTAAATGAAGCTTGAGTGCCGTAAACGTAGCCTCAACAGCGCCTGCAAACTGCATTTACGGCGTTGTGAATGTAGCCACTGCGTTGATTTAGATCTAGATAAGCCTTGATTCTAGATCTTTTCTACAGATCTAGATCTATGTGTTTTTTTGGTAAATTTTTACTAGAAGGCTAAAGTGCCATAATTTTTGCTGCAGAACACACAAGCAGTCTAGCCGCACTTATTTTAGGCCCTATTAGAAACCTGTTGAGTATGCCCATGCCCTACACAGGTCTCATAAGTAATTATTCAGGTTTAAAATACATTCATGCACTATCAGTAAGGCACCTTTTAGTTTCGTCTCAAATGAAAATACTTTAGGTATTTATTGCAAACTAAAATTTATTTACAATTCAGTAGCCTAGGCCTTTTTTTTGCTGTTTTGTTTCAAAGTTTGTGAGTCAAGCCATCATATAAGTACAGCTAGCCCTGTCTAGCCGTCATTATGTGCGGTTAGCCTGTCAGTCTAGGCTAGCCTAGCAGTCTAGCCGTCATTAAGTACGGCTAGCCTTTTCCAATCTATTGTTCAACTTCCTTTGATCTTAGATTGTCTGAGATTTTTTAGGAAAAATTCACTGATCGAAGTAATAATTAAAATTGCTCTCGATAGGGATTGAATTAAAGTAGAAGTGAATTGGGTTGAGGTAGTTTACGCCTCAACATGTGCCACCTGCATTTAACAGGCTGACATTGACTTGTCGCTCCAAAACAAGGATTAAATTAGCTATGCTAAGTATGTATTTTATTGCTAGTTCGACCATTGCTTTTGCTCTTAAGCAGTGTGTCTGTATTAAAAGTGTATTGAGGTTGAAACATGTGTGATGTAGCTATGTGTTCAACATATTTTAAAGCGTGCTGTGTGTCAAGGCAAAAATCCTTTACTTTACTACTGTAGACTACTTAATAAAGTTATAATGATCTTTGATCAAGGTGAAGCATAGAGGTTCTCTGCCATGCACTGTCAATTCAGGTATTTCAAGTATTGTTAACAAAAACTGCGTCGTTCAAAGGAAGAAGTGACTTCGTTGTTCATAGGACCCTCTGGGGTATTAGTTTGTCATTTTTGAGTGTTCCTGTGGTTGATACCCCTTTAGACGTGCAGTTCATTCATCGACAAACTAACAGTTTTGCCGACGAGAGAAATTCTATTTAGACGTACAGTTTTTTATCCTTAAAGTCTCAGCCCTTGGACTGCTGTAGCTATGGAAAATATCAACGAAATGGCTGAAGCAAGGTACGCATTGACAATTTGGCTCATTTTTTGTTCTCAAATAAAAAAGGAAATCAAGAAAGAGGATTATTTGGGCGAAAGAATGGTTTTAAAAAGAAGTATCTGTACACACACACAAATGGTCGTTTTCAAGGACACGCGGGCTAACCCGGATTTCAGGGGTTTCCAGAAATCTTGACCTACACCAAAAGGAGGCATTGCCCTACCTATAGGAGAAGTTTGGTTTCATTGGTGTTTATATTTGTTTGGTTATGAGAAAACTCTCCTTGTTTTTTAATGAAACTGAACAAGAGGCAAAAACTTTACCTTCGATTTTCTCAAAACAGCATTTTTCGGGATAGCCCACTTGTCCTTAAAAGCGACCAAATATAATACTAGAAGAATTACTAGCCTACCCGACGGACTTTAATAACTTGTTATGAATGGATGAGCAGGCATGCCTCTATATTCTGCAGTTGATCAGACCCATGAGTGAGCTACAATTAACAATGATGAGAGAAACAATCTCTCCACATAAAAGACTGATGGCAACGTTTTGTTTTCTTGCTACAGAAGCAACCTAAAAAGACCTCAAATTCACATCTAGTGTTTCTGCTCCACCGCTCAGTCAAATTATTCCACAGACATGGTTAACTCTTTATGGTACTCTTAAATGAAAGTATGTCATGCAATATCTTGAACATATTAAAATGTTTTGCGTTATTTTTTGTTGTTTATGTTATTGAAGACTTGTAGATTTTGCTTTTAAAATCATTCAGTTTCATGCCCTGGCCTACTTAACGTATTGGAATGAATAATAATTATGGTTTCCCAAAACGAACAAAATGCACACCAAAAATTAACTTGGTAATGCAGCATTAGATTGTGTTCCCTGTGTGATTTTGACTAATTTTGGGTTGCTGATCACGAAAATCTTATTTGGTTTATTTATTTGGCAAATATTTAGGGAACATTTGGAATGCTTTGTAAATGGAGTTAACATTCCACCAAAGTTCCTTAAATATTGGGGCAACATCAAAGAAGCCGCTCCTTCGTCGTCATGCCTTCAGTTCGGCGGCTGAAACTGGCTTTGCTAGATATCTGGTGGCTGGATTGAGGACCCTTCGATATGGAGAGGATTGCTTGTTTCCACGCTCAGTTTTACCGGAAAGTTGACAAGATCCTGCCATTCTTTGGATACCCTACAGTTTGTCGATCAATGAACTGCACGTGTAACAGGGGCCTTAACACTTTCCGTACCACGAGCCACATTTTGCGGCTCGCGGACCTGGCCTCGCTGTACCGAGAGCCGCAAAATACGGCTTGAGTGGCTCGCTATCTATTCCAATCCAGTGATGAAAAGATACAAATTTCTCGGCCTACCCACTTTTTCAAAATAATAGAATAGACTTCCTGTTAGCAGATACGAAAGAAAGTATTGCTCTGACAGAAGATTTTTTTAGTAATTTCAGCGCTTTTTTGTCCCCTTTGAAACGGAAAAACTTGAGAAAAAAAGCGCTCCCCTGATTTCAGTATGTGTCTCATACTTTCACTTCTATATTAGTTACACATACATGACATAACTTTCAGCATTTCTTTGCATTACTTGAGGCAACCTACCTGAGAAGTCTGAATGATGCTGTTGTTGTTGTACTTTTTTAGTTATGACCTTTCAAAGTTGGAAAATTGTTGATTTCATATGACGCCTTCGATATTGCATACCCTTTTAGAAACCCCAAAGTAATATAATTGGAATAAATCTCCAATATTGTATCGCCATCTGGTAGATTATTTTTTAACCTTCAGTTTGATGGACCATATGATATGGTTTGAGTGTGTTTGTTTAGTTGGATGTTTTGACATTTTCCTTTGGCGGGGTTGGGGCGTACAAATAGGTCAGGGAAAAG